CAGGCTCATCTGTAGTCCCAGCTGCCTGCTTGGGAGGCTAAAGCAAGAGGATCACTTGAGCCCAGGAATTCAATGCTGCCGTGAGTTGTGATTGCATCACTGCACTCCAGTCTGGGCAGCAGAGCAAGACGCCTCACTTAAATGGCTTCTCCCAATTCAAATCAGTGTTGTTCAAGGGTCTGCTGTAAATTTGGTGGCCTCCAGGGAAGGAAATTAAGCAGGCAGAGATGGGGGATAAAAGGAAATTTTGCCACATGCGTTTTTGACCTTTTGAATCTCGTGACGTGTAAATTGTGTTACTCCTCTCAAATGAATCATATTAGATAAGCAAACGTGTGTGAACATGTGTATGTGTGCATGTTTGGGGATAACCTATAAGACGAGGTACTTCCTCATCTCCACGATGCGACCAGAGCCACAGTCTTGGGACTGACACGTGCCCAGTTACAGCTTTGGGTGGGCCAATGATGCAAAACTGGACTAACGGAATGGCTGCCACTTGGTGCCCAGCAATAGGACAGGAATGGAGAAAATGTTCCTTAGTGTTCACCAAGTTCTATTCAAAAGAGAAACTCACTGATTTTGCACTACGTACAAGCACTAAGAAGGTACTGTCTTGTAAGTTGGAGATAAATTTCCCTCAAGCCAGTCCTCTTCCTTTCCTCAGATTTTGCAGTTACTCAGAGCACTCCCTGCTGAATCGTTTGGATTCTCAAATACCTCAATTCCCAAAAGATGGTGTGCAGGAAAGAGGACAGGAGAGGCACTGTCACCAGAAAATTATAAACCAGTCACCAAATGTCACGTGTTTATTATAAATTCTGAACAGGCATATGTATGCATAGAGCTGTTCTGCGTTCATCTATATTTAGTTAAAGTAACTATAAATTGTAAACAGGGTTAAAGGTGGAGATATTTTTTCTATAAAATAAGGAATAGGATGGTACAGATCATAACGTTGTACGGATGTTATCCATGTATAGATAATGGAATTTTTAACAATGAAGAATTCTCCTTAGTGTTTATTTATCATTGACAGGTTCTTTATATTGTGTCAGAAGAGAGAAGCTAAAAGCTGGACTTACATGGTGATAACTATGTGCTTGTAAGTGAATCTTGCTGGAGCCAGGGCAAGGGCTGTGACCCAGCCTCTCTTCATATTTAATGCACGCTTTGGTGTGGCCCTTCCTGTGATTGTGTAAGAATCAATCCTCAAGAAATAGTACCACTCTGGAAAAAGTGAAGAAAGTCCATTCTTCAAATCTGCAAAGCCAACATATCTCCTGATTATGGGAACCCCAGCGAGGACCTCAGAGTGCTGCCAGAGAAAGCAAACCAACGGCCATTGCCTGACACGTCTCCATATGGAACCACGTATGTGATGAATATGTTTACTCTTTGAGGTTGGGTACTATGGTAAGACTCTGGGAGGAAATTTGTACCATACGCATCTGATATACATGTCCTTTAGCCTAGAAATCTAGTTCTAAGAATTTACCCTAAAGAGATATAGTCAAAAGAATGAATTTATTTATGTACCCAAAAGTTCCTACCAGCAAAGTTTCCATCAAGGCAAATGGAGCCGTAAATTATGATACACACACATACAACAGAAGACCATGTTGAATTTTAAAATGAAAAAGTAGATCTACATGTAGGTGCAAGGAAGTATATTCCAATATATCACTGAATAAAAAGGTAGGCTCTAGGGCCACATATATGGAAAACAGTCCATGCACAGAGAGCTGTTTAAAGCATGCTGACGACACTGCAGCAATATTCCTTTCCTTATTTGAGAGTGACAGGGTTGCTTTAATTTCTGACAATGAGAATGTAATGTTTTGCATGTAATTATCAAAAAGTTATTTCAATAACAAAAAATAGTACATGTCATTTTATGTGTTAAATTTGACAACATCTCACTGTCTAGCTTGACTATAAACATGTCCAAGATAAAAAAACAATGAAAACATGATCTATTTCACAAAAATGCATAAGTCTGCATCATTAGGATGAGGACCAGAGTGACATCACAAACGTATCTAGTCCAGTTTGCATGCTATCTGGAAATACATGTTGTCGAATTTCCTAATAGCCATGCGTTTTCCAGAAAGAAAAGAAAAGCCGGGTGTGGCGGCTCAAGTCTACCATCCCAGCACTTTGGGAGGCCGAGGCGAGAGGATTGCCTGAGCCCAGGTGTGCAAGACCATCTTGGGCAACTTGGTAAGACCTCATCTTTACAATAAATTTTTAAAAATAAGCTGGGCATGGTAGAGGGTGCCTGTAGCTCCAGCTACTTGGAAGGCTGAGGTGGAAGGATCGCCTGAGCCCAGCAGGTCGAGGCTCGATGGCCTTGAGTGTGCCACTGCAGCACTCCAGCTTGGGCAACAGAGTGAGACTTCGACTCAGAAAAAGAAAGAAAGAAAGAAAAAGTCTTCGTTTAAGAACTCAGTGCAAAGATGGTTCATGAGAGTGGCCTCCAGGATATTGAGTTACTGGATGTTGAGTAACTCCAGGATATTGAATAACTCTTTCAAAATGGCCCATTCCGGGGACTCTGCCACCCGGTCCCAATGTGTCCTGTTGTCAAGGTGAAATAAAGCACGTGGTTCCTTTGAAAGGTCTTGCGTGGCCTAACACTTTCTCTGGTGAGGCTATGCTGTCCCAAAAGGTAGACATATGCCAAGCTGCCCTCGTGCAGAAACTCGTTAAGCTCCCCCTGAAGTCCAGGTACAACAAGATCACAATGAAGCGTGGGCAGCATGTTGAACGGCAGCAGCAGGCGGGAAGTTTCTCATTCCATTTGGATGAAGGGAAAAACCAAGAAAGGCGGCTGGAGAGCCAGAGAGCAGGAGCCCAGGGCCTGGGAAGCACAGCTCCTGCCCCACGGGAGGCGGGAGGGGAAGGCTGACCGGACCTGGCCGCTGGGGAGTGGGAGACGGGGAGCTTCCCTTACACCGAAGCAGGGAAGAGAGGACAATGAGGAGAGGAGAGGAGGCAATCCCCTGGGAAAACAGCCAAGGAAGGGACTGGTGCTCGGGAAGAGGAGGGAGCGTGGTTGGAGAGGCCCGGGGATGTCGGGAGCCTGGGACCGGCCAAGCCCAGCAGTCGGATGTGTGCGAGAACCACAGTGGGGAGGACAGGGTGGGGGTCGGAGGAGGTGAAGGGGAAGGGGGAAGAGAAGGAGGAAGGAGAGGAGGAAGAGGAGAGGGAGGAGAGGGGAAGGGAGAGGGAGGAGGAAGGGCGACATCCCCCCTCAAGGGCGCCCCCCAGAGGGGCAGGCAGGGGTCCCACCACAGTCCAGGGCTAGCAGGCATCACGCACCACGTGGCTGAGTGCAGACTGAGGACCCTAAGACAGCAATCAGAAGCGAGAGTCCTGCAGCAGTAATGCTCACGCCGGGAGGCATGGGCGCCTGGAATCCTCCAGGGATGGAAGGCAGCATGGGAGGCAAGAAGGCGGCCTCCAGCAGGCCAGCCCCAGCCCGACAGCCTTGTGGAGAGGCACACATTGTTCCCCCTGTTAGTCCCCTCCCCACAGACATGCGCACTTTAGGAAGTCCGTACATTGAAACTCGGCCAGGGTATGGGGTCTCCCAGCACCCGAAATCCCGTCTCTCCAACCCAGCAGTTTCCAGGACTTTTGGTCTTGTGATCCCTTCATGTTCTTAAAAATCGGCTGGGTCCAGGGTCTCACGCCTTGTATTCTCAGCACTTTGGGAGGTTGAGGCAGGAGGATCACTTGAGGCCAGGAGTTCGAGACTAGTCTGGGCAAGAGAGCAAGACCCTGTTTCTATAAAAATAAAAATAAATAGCTGGGCGTGGTGGTGTGCCCTGTAGTCCCAGCTGCTTGGGAGGCTCAGGCAGGAGGATCATTTGAGCCCAGGAGGCCAAGGCCACGGTGAGCCATGATCATGTCACTGTACTCCAGCCTGGGTGACAGAATGAGACCCCAGCTCAAAACAAAACAAAAACAAAAAAATCTCTGCAGATCCCATTAGCAGAATGTTCTCTTGGAAACAAATGGATCTCTCCATGGCTACCAGGTTGCCCAGTTAACTGGTTGCCTTTGTAAAGCAGTAAAACATTTAGCGGGAACGTGTCCCAACAGATGGAATTCAAAATGACTTGTTTTCTAAAGGATCATACCTCTTGGGACAACCAGAAACCACACAGAGGGCTTCCACGGGGCACGGGGCTCTGAGTCGCTCGTTCCCAGTGCGGACTCAGAAGCTCCTGCAGAGGGCAGGAAGCCTGGGCTGGGGTTATTGTTTAACTGGACACAGGCTGGACACTTGCTTCTGCGTGGCCCCGATGTGCTGTGAGGACCTGACCCCACGAGGTGACCGCAGCAGAGGGAGCATCGATAGCACCTGCTCTGTCCTGGTGCCCACAGGCCACCCGGCCGGGCCTCCTGTCCTCTGGGAAGGGCCGTGGTCCATATGGCATCCCGATCCCTCATGGAGATGCAGGCCGGGCCACAGAACGTAGTTAAATGCAGGGAGACACCCAGCACTCGAGCTGCATACCAAGCGCTGCAGCATTAACCGGAGCATTTTATTATGAACACATTCCGGCCCGTTGAGAAGCATGGCTGGGAAGTGGATCTCTGCTAATTACGTCTCATGCATATTTCAGAACTTTCCCAGGGAGGCCAGAGGATAGTATTCGTAAAAGGAAGTTGGCAGCCAGGTTCGCTGGCATTGGCGCAAGGCCAGTAGGCGACAGGGATGAGTCCAGCTGTGTCCCAGGCTGGGTTTGTCTTTGAGGGGACATGGTGACCCCAGCACGGCCGCCACGTCCCTGGCTGGGCAGGCCTCCCCCAGCAGACCCCCCTCCCCCGGGCACACAGGATTGCGGGCAGCCCGTGGCGACTGTCATTTCTTCCCCATGCTGACCTTCTCTAGATTTGCCTTCCATTTTACTGGGGCTTGACTTAAGGCCACGAGCCTTGGAACATGGGGACAGGTCAGGAGAACAACGGAAGGCAGGCCCCGTTACCTGCTTGAGGAGCGAGCTGTATGCCACGCAGGTGACTGCTGTCTCGTGGCTCCTCACCCATCTGCCCGCTTTGCGGTTCATCGCCAGCAGGGCGAGCTGGTTGTTAAATGAGATGAAAAGGCATCCGTGGCCCTCGTCGAAGTGGAAGAGACACCTGAAGTCCTGACTTTTGGGGAAAGCACAAGCTATCCTCTGGATGGACAGCTGGTGGTGAACATCCCAGAGTCGCAAAACCTGTGTGAAAAGTGACGCATTGCTCTCAGCGTGTCAAAGAGAATGCTAAGTTTTGACCACCCTTGACACCAGCCAGATGGTAGTTTCTTCCACAGTGTCACAATTGCTCATAACTCTTAGCATATATTATTTTGTATTTTACTCACCGGTTTAAACATCTCCTAAACTGTCCGCTCCTCTGAGAAAGGGTTTGGTTTTTCCCCTCTGTCCCTGGAATAGGGGTTGGCATTTAGTGAGTGCTTGTGGAAGGCAGAATAATGACCCCAAGGGATGCTGCATCCTGATCCCCAGAACCTGTGGAGATGTTATCCCACGTAGCAAAAGAAATTTTGCAGATGTGATTAAGTTAAGGACACTGAGATGAAGCCACTGTGTTGGATTATCTGGGCTAGAGTAAGATAGAGCAAGACCCTCCCAAGGCAAAGCGTCAGACCCTAGGCTCTGACCTCCTGGGCCGAATCTCAGCTCCATGCCTTGCGGGTGGGGCGGCCTCCGGCAAGTTTCTTTCTTTTCTCCAAGTTTCTAAGGTAGCACCCACCTCACCCAGTTCATTGAAAGTACAACACCGAGCATGATGACCAGCCTGTCACAACAGTCTATTTTTGTTGTGTAAATATTAGACTCTAAGAGCAGCAAAGATTATTTCAAATAAACTGGCCTATCCTGCCCTAATGTGAAAATTCTTTCTGTCTTTTTCTTTCTTTTTTTCTTTTTTTTTTTTGAGATCTCATTCAGAAAGATTTGGTGCATGTTTTATAGGAAGCATTTTCTTTTCTTAAAAAATTTTTTAATTTTTAATTTTAAAGACATGAGGTACAATTCAGGACGAGGTATACAAGTGGTCAGCATACAGGTAAAGTTTGGGCCTCCCTTTGGTCTCCACTTGGCCTGGTTTGAGTTCAGGTGCCCTTATTGATGTTGTGTTCCCCCTGCCACTCCCACCCCGGTTGTATCCTGCTGAGAATTATTTCTAAATTATCTATATAAGGTGGCTTCTGTTTAAATGAGTGCTTATTACCCCATAAGATAGGCAACCTCATTGTTCTCAACCTATTTTAAATCACATACCACTTTGGAAAAAAAAATCTGTTAAAAATGATGGTTCTACTCCCCTCCCCAGAGGCATGGACCCATGTACACATACACTTTTATATACATGGAACCATGTGTGCATGCATTTACACATGCATAGACCCGTGCGTGCAGGCACTTGTCCGTATGTTTCCTTTGGGTACACAGACACACACACCTCATATGCATATCAGCAGGTCCTGGGAACCTACGGATAAGACTCTCCAGGGTAAGCGTGACATATGCTCTTCCAGAGACATCCTCTTCTACCCTTGACTCTACCCACCCCTTTCCACATCTGCACATGCCTCCTCCTAACTTCCTGCAGGGCCAACAGTCCCGGTTACTTCAACCGTCTTCACATCAGCTTTCTGATCCCTCCACCACCCAGCGTGGCGGCCCCCTGATTCTCTCTCACTCTCTCTTTGTTTCCACCTCCTCTCCAGGACAGGATGGTTATCCAGACCTTGTTTACTCTCATAACCCGTGGGCGGATGTTTCCACAGTATGTAATCTAATAGTACCAGGGGGCTTTTCTCCAGCCCGTGTCTCTGTACCCCAGCCCCACTCCCTGAAGGCAGCCTTCTTTTACTCTTCCTGGTCGGTGGCTTTCTCCATAACACGAACTAACATCACTTTATGTGTGGACGAGGGTGTGTATTGCATCTATTATTCATATATAGCTAATCACTCACTTCTGAAAGAAGAAAAATTACCTCTGCTCCTTTCCCCCTTTCTCTTACCATTCCTCCCAAGCTAGCATTTTAATTTTTAGTCCTTTTGGTTCTTTTAATTCAGGTGATATACTTACACATTGATTGTTGACTAATTTAAGACACTTATCTCTGAGCATCTTAGGATCTTCGAGGGTCTGTTTTCAGCAAGGCACTCAGAATGGAATAAATATTTCAAGTGTGTTCTCATCATTACTGGTGCTCTGGTTTCTCTAAAGAAGTCCCTCTTTTGCATTAGCTGATCCAGCCTTTCCATCACGCTTAATCATGCAGACAGGATTGAGCAAAACTCTAGATCTTATTCCCATAAACAAACAATCTAGCCAGGTGTCTATTATTGTGTCTTCAAGAATATTATTTTTAAGCCAAGACTAGGGTATTTTCTAGTTTTGATCCAGAGTTTCAATGGGACAATATCATTCTGATGCTAATTTAATTGTATGAACAATTCCTTTGTGACTTGTCCACGTATTGCATAGGACACAGCGGATGCTAAAAATAAATTTTTTGAATTCAAGATTGTGGTTCCCCTAATAATTATGTCTTTATCCAGCTAATTGATGAAAAGATTCCAAAGGGTAGGCCCAGGGATATAGCACCCCACAAAAAAACTGCCTAATTTCTACATAGTTACTTATCCTATTGCAGATATCTACTCCACAATGAAACTCCATGAGAGTTTCTCAAACATCTTACAGAAATAATTGCACTTGGTGTATAGGCTAATTTCTCCATCTACCCCACCTACCTACCCTTGTAACTAACCTTGTCAATCCCCACTAAGCAAACCACATAGCCTAACTAATCCTCTAACCCCCCCCCCAATATATTCATAGAGAAAATTGGATTCTCTTGGCAACAATTTTTATTAAAGAACTCATTCCTGCTCTTAATGATCACTAATTTTTTTTATCTAAAAATTCTAGCCACTTTCCAGGAAAGACTTATCTTCAAAAATATAAACTGGGTAAGAACTAAGACTTACAAATAGATTTCATATATGTTCCAAATATAAATAGAATCGATAAGCTTTTATTTTTATTGTTACAGCCATAAAATTAGACACATTTAGATCATTCTCACTCATATGACTCACGATTGTCCTGTCCTCATCTCTAAAACCCTATCTTGTTTCATATGAACCCTTCTAAGAAATAGAATATTAGAATAATAACATAGGGTATAACTGAGTATAGGTTGGCTATAACACTAGTGCAATAATGAACCATAATTTCCCCAGAATCATTTTCCATTGTATTGTTCAAGTCATTTATACTGGGTTTGATATTTCTTCAGCATTTAGTCATAAAAATTGTACAAAAGCCGGGCTCGGTAGCTCAGCCTGTAATCCCGCGCTTTGGGAGGCTGAGGTGAGTGGATTGCCTGAGCCCGTGGGTTCGAGACCCGCCTGGGCAACTTGGCGAGACCTCATCTCTACATAAATCAAAAATTAGCTGGGTGTGGTAGCACACGCCTGTAGTTGCAGCTACTTGGAAGGCTGAGGTGGAAGGATCGCCGGAGCCCAGCAGGTCGAGGCTGCGGTGGCCAGTAGCGGCCACTGCACTCCAGTCTGGGTGACAGAGTGAGACTCCAACTCAAAAAACAAAACAACAACAATAAAAAATTGTACAAAAAAATTAAAACTGGATGAGTCATAACCTCTCTTGTCTACAACAAGTTACTTCTTGCTACTGGCAATTAAAACCAGAAATATTTTTTGTCAGAATGTGTATACTCATTAATTATTTAAAATTAATTCTTATTGTTCTTATTCCTCTGAGGAACTCCGAACTCTCTCAATTAATAATCCCACTCGGACCATCTTCCATCATTAATATTTTAATTTTGCTCTCTGCTTAGGATCAAGCAATGGCCCTGAAATACAGCCACCTGTACGTAAAACAATGCTCCTAGAAATCAGATGATGGAACATGACCTCTTGTCTGTTTTCTGTTTTTCCTACCAGTGGTCCTTAAACTTGATGTTAGAAACACTGATAATGCTTTAGAAATCACCTGTCCATCAGCCCTTTTCCCAGGCCTGTTGAATCACTGTCTCTGAGGATGGGGCTTAGACATTAGTGTTGTTTTAAAATGTTCCCACTTATTTTCTTTGTGTTCTAACTTCACTTCTCTGGCCTTAAGATCAATGCCAATCTCTTCAAACAAGAACTCTTCCTCTGCGCTTCATTAGTAATATCACATGGCTTTCAACCAGATAACCGTATTCCCCTTCTTTCTCAATCGCTCGATATCCTTTTAATCGTTAAAAGCAACTCACATTGCTTTGGTTTTATTAACCAAGTCCTTCCACAAAAACCTCACTTAAATATCTAGTTATTATTTGAGAATCCTGTGTTCTCACCTTCGTTATATACGAGTTGACTTCTGAAATAGAGTTAGGCCACAGTTCTGAGAGGAGTATATTTAATATCAATTCTCATTCCAGATAGCCTAGAGATGTTTTCTTTATTCTTAGTAGGACAAGTAAATAGATTGACAAACTCCTAAGCGTACAAATTACGGTAGAATTTTTTAAAATTTATATTTTTGACAAATTTTCATGTAAGTTGTACAGCATTTACATCATACCTGAGATCTGAGATACCTGTTGAAACTCAGACTTACCAAGTCAGGTCCTGAAAGGGCATATTTGGGGTTCTCTAGTTCATCTTCATTTTTATATCAGGGACAAGTATGTAAGCTTCCGATTTTATAATAAGGCAAAGTTTAATTTTTACATAATAATAATGACAATGATTTACATAATATTTATCTTCTTTCAACTGTTAACCTTTTAATAATGCAGTAGAATAAGCAAATACTGTACTTTTTATATACAGTGGATCTAGAAAGCAGTGGACTGAGACCCCAGACTTTCAAATCCTAGTTTTAATACTAGTCAGGTTTTTCAGCTAAAGTAAGTGATTTTTACCTTTCATTTCTTTAAAAAGGCCCCTGCCAGCTTTGAAATTCTGTCAATTCTGTCTAGAATATCGTCAAATTGCTCAATCCATTGTCTAAAATAACAACAATTCCAACCAATTCAGGAAGGTGCGTTGTGAGGATTGCATTAAAGAAACGGAGGACATTGCCAAGCTTCAGTTTTGCTGAAAAATCCCCTGCTCCCTGCCAGACACAGGCAGAGTCACTCTTGTTCACATAGGCATAATGAAACTATGATGAGCAAATAAGTAATAAAGGTTTTCCTTTGTACTACAAATATTACACTTATAAGTGGACAACTTCATGGGTAGGTAGGTGCATAACCAGATGTATGGATGGAGAGAGAATCTGTCTTCAGTGCACTTCAGTGTACCTTTAAAAAATCTGAACCAGCATTATTTACATACAGGCAACACATTTAAGTTTAATTCAAAGTAGTTACAAAACAAAGAGACTCGTCATCTTCTAATAATGACATATGAGTGAAGGAAAAGTAGAAAACAGACTCAGACAACCCCATTGAAAGGAAACTTGTTTCATTTTACCAAATACTGACTGCTAACTCCTTCCACCCTGTATGAAATAGATGCAAAATGGCAGTAAGGAAAAAAGAATGCATGTGCACGTGTGTGTGCATTGCTGGGGTCTGTGTCCAGAAGCCATCCACACAGGTAGACTGCCTACTTGCAGATATCAGAGTAACAGGGTGGAGGGCACTGGCCCTCTGAACACACGTTTAAGTACTAAGAGTCTACTTATTTAGAATTTAAGCCTTGCAGGGATCCACCAATGCATCAGCAGTAAATGCTTAAAGGCAATTTTGTGTGGTATGATATGTGCTCACAGAAGGATACTACTGAATATCTCAGCTAATGTTTTTATCTAAAAGTCATAGAACTTCCTTTAAGAAATATTTTTCTCAAGACTGAAATCAAAATACTAACTTGAAATGAAAATCTTTATTCATCTTTAAATTGCTACCCTAACTGATATCTCCTCTTTTTTTAGTTCTTTTCAAGAGAAATGAGAGGAGACACATATAGCTCTAAGACTCAAATTCCCATTGTGTGTTTGTGCATTCTGCCACTGACCTTGAAAGAGGCAAAACCGTTTCCTTAAACTATGGATTGTTTCACAGAAATCTTGTTGATTTCCCAGTTCCAATCTGGCAATGAACTTAACTCATGCCAATATTATGTTTAAGACAAAAGTTAATTTGGAGCATTTTAAATTTCAATTAAGCCGGTTCTCTGTCATCATCATTATTCGCATAACACTAAAAATCATGACAGAATTCTTCCTGGTCTTTAAAAAGGTTTTCTCACTTTACCTTTCAAATACTCCTTTAAATTTTTAAATTTTATTTTACTCACTGTGTATGCTAACAATAACTTTGAAAGAAATAAGTCAAAAGCTGCCAGCCCAAGAGAACTCTGATTTCATTATCATAAAAAATTAGGTTTTTGGCAGGGAGCGGGGGAAGAGAGGTGGGATTAATGGTAGTCAATATCTGTCTGGGGATGGGGAGACATCCCTCATCAACAAGGGTGCCTGAACGGTGCATATTTGTATACCTAACCCTTAACTGTACCCCACAATTTTAAAATAAAAAATATTGATTTAAAAAAAAATTAGGTTTTTGTAAGGGGTCTTCCTGTCCCAAAGAAATGAAACTCTGGATAAAACACAGTTCTGCCACCTTGCTGGTCCTTCAGGGAGTGAATCTCCAAGGGTCCAAAAGCAGAAAGAAACACACTAAAACGGGGATATGAACGGGAGGCCTCAGGGAAGGACGTACAACCAAAGTCTAAGCCGTGGCCCTGCAGTGAGACGGCTACACTGGACAGCCGAAGAGGGGGAGAAGCCACCGAAGTTTTCCACCTTCTCTCTCGCCCTGCAGAAATAAGCAGGTGCTCTCTTGGAGGAAGGCGCCTTCCGTCTAGTTTCTCTGAAGACTTATAGACTGGCAGTGGCAAAAAGGGAGGTAACAACGAAAGATCATGAAATGGGACTGGGTGCCGGGACTCACACCTGTAGTCCCAGCACTTTGGCAGGCTGAGGAGGAAGGATTGCTTGAGCCTAGGAGGTCAGGGCTGCCGTGAGCTGTGATCGCCCCACTGCACTCCAGCCTGGAGACAGAGTGAGACCCTGAGTCAAAAATAAGTAAAACAAAACAACGAAACGTAAAAGAAAACCAGTCACTAGGAGGACAGAAAATACCAGATTATGTAGGGCACCGAGGGCTCCAGATATGGGAATTAGAGACAAGGGTACAAAATAATGAGGTATAAAATTAAACAGTGAAAAGTCAGAATCCCCCAAATGAACAAGCAGCAAGACTGTCCAAAATTACCAGCTAGTTCAAAAACTTCTTCTAGAAAAAGGTGAGTTAAAATTTAAAACCCTAAGTATGTATTATACAGAAAGCAGGCCCCTATTAAACACACTCTCATTGAAGTCAAGAATGAGTTTGCCTTCTAAAATATGGAGGAAAAATCTCAACATGGGATAGGAAAGAAATGAATGCATACAATTTTGCTGAAACATGGTGAAAAGAGTGAATAAATGGAGAAGCACAGCGTTCTTACTCAACATTTTAAAGAGCTCAAATACCAAACAATGAAATTCCAGTCCAAATACCAATAGGGTTTTCCACGGAACATGAATATTGGCCCTACAATTTACTTGGAAGGATAATATGTCGGAGGAAAGTTAAAATGGAGTAGAAAAACAGGAATTGCCCGACCAGGTGTCAAAATATATGATAAAGCTAAGGTGGTTAAACCATGATGCATTTGTGTACGAAAAGACAAGCAGGTGAGTGGGAAGAATAAAGCATAGACTGGCCAATTGATGTCTATCTAGTAATTCAGACAGTGATAACAATGGCATTTCAAACCAGAAGGAGAGGTGGATTATTCAAAAGATAATCTTAGATCTCCATTTGCAGGAAAAAAAAACACCTTACAAAAAATAAACTGCAAAGTTAAATGCAAAAGAAATCAATAGTAGAAAAAATCAGCATAAAATAAAAGAGATCATTTTTATAAACTAAGCTAAACACAAAATCTACAGTCATAAGGAAAAGCATTTCTTAGATTAAATTGTGTACAGATTAAAAACTTCTGAATGAAAAAAAATGAAGTCAAAAGCATATGCTTCTGAAGGCAGAAAGAAGAGTCTATTGCAAAGCCATGAACCTGCATGGTGGGAAAAACCAATGGTTTAATACAAAAAGCAGGAAGTGCTTTGTATAACAGTTCAAGAACTTTGGAGTGAGTGTTTAGAGGCCAGAGATGAGAGATTGAAGCGTTTTCCTTGCAAACTACTTAATTAGCAGAATGGATGGCAGACTGGAGTCAGATTGTCTAGAAATAAGGAGATATATTAGAGAAACGTCCTTTTGGGGAAAAGAAGGTGAGATTTTAAATGAGAGCAACGGCGACTGAGATGCAGAGGTGAAATGCATGCACATATTTCGATGGTAGAATCAATAGGAATTGACAGGTTGATTGTTGAAGTTTAAGGGGAAGGAAAAAGAGTTACATGCCTGGTAATACAGTAAAATACATAAGTTTCGTAGGATTTATGGTGGGCTAGGACTAAGGAGTTGAAGGTGAATGTGTATGTAATTTATAAATATGTGTATGTCAGCATAGAACAAAAATTAATGTTCACTCAAAGAGTCTCTGAGACTATCCCCAATCAACTTTTTTTTTGAGTTGGAGTCTCACTCTGTCACCCAGACTGGAGTGCAATGGCCGCTCCCGGCCACCGC